TAATTACTTATTTTTTCTTCTTCTCTCTCTCTCTCTCTCTCTCTCTCTCTCTCTCTCTCTCTCTGGATCATTATATAATAATAATATTGATTACCTTCATTGTACAATGAATGATGATCCAAATAACACCGACAACTGTCACGAGCAAATCATATCTGTTTCTTCTGGACTGCCAATAGCCACGTGGTGTAAAAGCAATATTTTTCATAATTACTTCCACGAGGAAGATGAGTGTCAGAATCGTGGACACCGTAGCGAGTGCTTCCGTGTGTTCTTCCTCGATTCTCCACTTAAAGGACAAAAGATAAAAAAATATTTGTTAACGAAAAAAAAAAATATGTCGATTTACTTTTACCACGGTCTAATGGTAGCCGGCAAGGAACAAATGATTCAAAGTAACAGTTAATGAATTTTATCCTTTCACGAAAAGTATTTTAATTAGTTACAAAATGATGTTATAGTGTTGTAGTGTTTTGTGTGTTGTCATTATTATACAAAGAGCATAAAAATTATCCAACTCACAGAGACACATAGAAGAGAACTGTTTATAAGCACCATAACTGCAATGAATCTTTTAAAATAGATATTCTGAGTGATATCATAGATAAATGCTCTGAATTTCTTTCCATCTGGTCTAGGTGGTAAATGTAACGGTTGTGCAATTTTTAATCGCTTTTTTAAATCACACCTATTTAAATCATAATATATTTGTTTAAAATTTTTATATATCATTTAAAAATTCATTAAATAAATTAATTAAAGATTTACCATCGTCTTTGATCAACTGTAAGTAAGGCAGTCCCTTTATTTTCAGAATAATTAGCAATGACAACACCGACGAACAGAGTTAAACCAATCATACAACCCAGGAAAATATAAATGTGAATATAAATAGCATGAACCTAAAAAAAAAAATCTTTGAATAATATAATTTTAGAAATATTTTAAGATAATATTAATTACTTACTGGACCAAGAGCTTTAATAAGAACATCTCTAACATCAAGCCATCCTTTAAAAGAAAGTACTTCAAAAAGTGCCATTAATGCATCACCAATATTGTCAAAATTAAATCTTTTAGGATTGGCCCTAAAAAAGTTTTAATGTCTTCTTAGAAGCATTTTTATTGTATTATTTATATTTTCTTTTCAATAAACTTACCAAACACGTGGTACTAATATAGATGGATAACTTTCGTTTTCACCTGGTTGCAATTTCATTTTTGTTACGAATACTCTTCTCATAAATACTCCAACACAATCTTCTCGTTTTAAAATAGTAGGATCATTACAACGCGCTAATCTACCTCCATAAAGTTGTACACCATAACTCGCAAATATAAACATCAGTAAAATCAATAGAGTAGACACCTAAAAATTTTTTATTCATTTTTTATCTGAATTAGATCACTTTTCTGCAATATTTCGGAATAAATCTGTCCATATAAACAAAATAAAAGAGTGGATTTTTGTTACTGAAAAATTAGTTAAATTTGATTATAAAAGCATCTCAACATTTGAATTTTTAATTAAAATTATTTACCAATAAGATCTCTTTGAATCCTCTACATAATTCATAAACAACTTTTCTCATATGTGGTACAAGAGTGAAAATTCTTAATGGTCTAACACAACGTAAAATCATTAGAAGTTGTGCACCTGAATTTGGTGGAACGCTTTTTGGCATCCAACAAAGAAACACAAGGCTGACCTAAACGTCGACTGAATTAGTGTTAAATTTACTAAATATTATATAGCAGAAATGATTTTTTTCAACATACAACATAAATAAAAACATCCAAAACAGAAGCGACATCTTTAATATAGGCCTTTGGTGTGAAAAATAGTCCATCTGCTAAAATCTTTAGAGTTAATTCAATACTCATAAAGATCACAAAACCATATTCTGCAATTTGTAATGCTGGAATTTCCATTACACGATAGCGTGGTGTTTCAAACATCATAGAAATACAAGACATAGTCGTAGCAAAAATCATCACCCAATCAAGATATGTGACCAAACCAAGAAAATTGCTATAAAAAATATATAGCTATCATCCATTTAATTTCTTTTTTTTTCTCTTTTTTTTTAAATTTTAAATAATAATCTAAGATATAAATTAAAGTAATTATTATTTATATTAAAAGTACTTACTGTAAACTTTTATATTGAACTTTTCTTTCTTTTCCAGTTAAAGGATCTTTCACATTTGTATCGTATCTTGCATAAACAAGTGATTGACAAATTTTACGGAATTTACTCTCACGCGGTACTGCGAATAGTGGTGTATCAAAAAACGGATGATTCTCACGTAAATCTTCTTCACGTTGATTTCTACATAAGCGTAATAAGTAGCAGAAAAAGTATAGATGAAAAGAATGATTGTATTTTACCTTCGCATTTCGGCTTGTTGTCGTTTAGCTTGCAATAATTTAATATCCAAATCATGCGGTCTACTGCGAGAAGAGCTAACTCTGTTTATTCCACCAATATCACCATTTTCCATCAAATGTTCATATGTTTGTTTTAGCTTGATTGATCCACTACGAACACTTCTTCTAATTGACCTTATTATATGAATAGATTGATTGATATAAAAAAATAATTTTTAAAATTTTTCTTACTTCAAGTATTATATTATTACATAAATTTAAGATTTTACTTTTTTTGATCAAAACGAAGTTGTTTAGCACTACTAACAGTGCCTTGTGGTTTTAGAAGACCTTTTCCCGGTACTGGTATCATAGCAGAATCACCTAATAACAATCTTTGATTGTTGGAATCACTAAAAATTTATATATACATATATATTGTAATCTTATGAACTATTTAAAAATATTATGTTTTATGAATATTCACTTTATAATATAAATAACAGCTGCTTTTTTAAGACTGGTGACAACATTTCTTACTTTAGGTGGATTATTTAAAATTTTTACTGGACGTTGTTTTCTATATATCATTTTTGAATCAAAAGTTTCATTTATTTTCTTTACTCCTTCATTTTCTTCGTTTTCCATTTCAAATACAAATTGTCTCATGAAACTTTCACGAACCTAAATTATATATACAAAAAATATCTATATTTTAATCTTTATAACACACACATACACAATATATATATGGATAATGAATAATACTTACTTTTGGAAGATTAAAATCTGATGGTACTTTATGTAAACATGTCATTTGAGGACTGTCAGGAAATTTCTCAAATATTCGTAATCTAAATGGTAAAGTTTCTTTTATTTCCGCACTTTGTTCACGGAATTTTAATTGTTTCAGTTTCTTAATATCTTCATCCAATTCAAGATTATCCAAAATTACGGCGACAAATAAACTTAACACAATCTTAAAAAATTATCTTAACATTATCTTTTAATTATAATTAAAACAAATATAATATCTAAATATATTTTTACCAATGTAACAAAAAGATGATATAAAATAAAATACATAGCAACAAGAGGAGCCATTGTTTCATGTGTTCTTAACATTGTTTCATCCATAACATCTACCCAAGCTTCTTGTGTTAAGATTTGAAACATGGACATAAATGCCTAAAAAAGTTCTTTATCAATATAATTTAATTATATGTAAATCTGTTTATATTTCTTTTACCTCTGGAAATGTTTCAAATTTTGTGAAATTGCGATGAAAACAAAACAATTGCATGGAAATACTGGATGATATGACTAATAGACACATAGTAAAAATAATGAGGCTTCCTAATTTTTTCCCAGGACCAAATATTTTGTATACAAAATCTTCAAGCATTGGTGATGCCTTGATAAGTCTAACTACTCTAAGAACCTAATTATAAAACAATATTATATTAATTTATCATTGTACTTCCAATTGATTTTCTCTATAATATATTTTCAATTAATTTTATTTATAATTAAATTTATTTTAAAACTGAATAAAAATAAATAAAAACCTGAAAATATGTGAATCCAGAAAGATAGAAGAACGGAATAATATGTATGGTTGTACCAATTGCTAATAATAGTTCAAATTTATGAATCGAATGCTTGTAATAACTGCGAAATCCGAGACACCAAATTTTAAACAATGTTTCCAGATCTAAAAATATTGTAAACGCAATCTCAGCATAATAATAATTATCATAATACGTATGCCTTGGTTTCTCATCATGTTTGAAGCTCATAGTCGCAGTGGTAATACCATTTGCCAAAATTACAAACATTACCACCATACGAAAATGAGGAGATCTGAGAATGGCATGACATATAGGAGAAGCTAAACCTCCATGTTTGTTCTCATCTAAAGTTACCAATTTCCAACCATTGTCATCACCAGTTAATATCTAAAAAAGATTATATATATATATATATAAGATACTCGTGAAATATCTTTGAAAAGTTAATTTTAAAGATCGAAACAAACATAAAAGTTGATTTATAAAAATTCAGTTAAAATTATTTATTAACTTATAAGCAATTGAAATTTATGTTACATGAAATGGAAAATTTATGTTAGATGAAAAAGAATAAAATAAGACCATTTTGTCTATGTCATCTTTGCAGTATATTTTCGGTTTGCTTTATCTAATATGAATTTAAATTATATTTATATTATTTTAACTTAATAAATAGATGTCAACCGACATTTTTGTATATTAATTTTTATGTTTATTTTTGTCTTTAAAATGTTGTTTTGACTTTTTGAAGATATTCCATGAATATATTAACAAACTATATATAATAAAGATTATATATAAAATTATATATATATTTTTATATAAATTCAATTACTTTATTACAAATTACAAATTAATTATTATATATAAAATTATTACTAACTTGTGATGCTGTGTTATTGCTGATATGTCCTCTAACACCCCACATTTGTTGGAACTGAACTCGAATTTCATTAAAAGTTTCTGTGATAACTGCTATGAAAACATTCTTCACAAGCCATGCTAAGAAAAATATCATTGTACTAAAATAAAGAACTGCACGCCAAGCAGGTAAACTATCTATTGCACGATACATAATAAAAACCCATCCTTCTTGTGATGCAGCTTGATAAACTGTAAAAATACTCGTAGCTGAAAAATAAAATTATTTATCTAAAGTATTTTATTAAAAATTATTTGAAAAATAAATTGTTTGTAAAAAATATAGTAAATATTTTATATTATAAAATTTCTTATTACCAAATTCATCAAATCCATTGAAACCCATAATATATTTTGATAACTGAAGTTTCATACAAGTCATTCCCTCTGGACATTGGTATCCTGATTCAGGATCGGTAGAACAAAAGGTATCAGGAATGGCTAAACTATTTATAGTTATATCTGTTGGATCTGTAGTAGTATTAAGAACACAATGATTTTTTAATTCACCAAAAAACTGAACGCCTAAAAGACCATAAAGAGACATGAAGAAAAGAAAGAAAAGAGTTACATTATATATCTGTTGACTTGAACGCCTGAAATTATAAATAATATAAATATATCAAATTTATAATAAATTTTTTATATTTTTAAAATATTTACTTGAAAATTTGATTAATTCTAGCTTTTGGCATAGAAAACTTTAGAAAAACTCGTAGAAAGCGTATCATAATTAATGGGCGTGGCGCGCGTAATATTGAAACATAACTAATTTCTAAAACGAAACCTAGCATCTCAAACATTTGTAATATTATAGATAACCAAAGAAAGATGACCATGCTTCCATCAAATTGGCACCAATGATCTTTTAAATAAGATTTATCCCTCTGTAACTAAATGTTTGTCAGTTTGATTGTCAGTTTATGTAAATTGTTATGTAATAATATTATGTGAATTACCTTCAATATACCCCTTATATGCATCTTGGCAATCATTTCAGCAGTAAACAAAAATGTAATAATTAAGTCACAAACAAAGGTAAAATACTGAAGTGGTGGAACTTTTTCAAAAGTTTTTGGAGTATTCAAGCAAACAGAAGCTAAAGATACCAGAGCACAAGACCTCATCAACCTTCTCACCCATAACTATAACAATTAATTATTTAGCAATTAATGCATATGCTGCTTACATGATAGGATATAAATTTTCAATATAAATAAAAGTGAATATATTTTTGTAAATTACCTTATTTACCCATTCTATATCAGCACTCTCATTGAGGGACTCCTCTGGACCATAATCAGCCAAAACAGGTTCCCCTTTGAGGCTCTGCTTACGCCCCAACATCATAATAGGAATTATGTTCGCAATGATGAAGCCTATAATATAAAATTGTTATGAATAACAGATTATAGCATATTAAACAATCAATATACATTAATGAAATGAAATTTGAATATTGAATATATAATAATACAATTTTTTAAATATTCTTTAAATAATAATTATTTGAATATTGTTTTTTTATAATTTTCAATTGTAATACAATATAATAATAAAATTATAGCTTATATTATTGAAAATTAAAATACAATATATATTAAATACGAATAATATAATAGTGAAAATTATAAAATTATTGTAATCTGATTAAAAATACATATAAGAATTTATAATATAATTAATAATTTTTAATTATATTTAATAAAAATAATATAAATAATTATTATTACCTTTTTTTTAACAATTTGAGCGATAATGAAAATTGCCTTTACGGCATTAATACACACTACATTTCAACATAAAACAATGAAGTTTCATATTAAAATTATATAATAGACATCTTAATAACAACAAATTGGCGGCATTTTAGTAAACATTTTTTGGTTTAGTTCTAAGTTTCAAGTTTTCTAGTAATAAGAAATGAGCATGAGCAGTGTTGTTACTTTACACACAAATCAATATTTCAAATGAATGAAGGCGCGTAAATCGATGATAACTGATTTTACAAAATTTTTATTTTGAGACATATTATTTCAATATTAGTACTGATTAAGTATCTATTATAAATGATTAATAAATGATTCGAATTAATAAAATAATAAAAAAAAATTCATAAAAATAAGTAGATATATATAATTATATTTCTATTTCAATAAAAGACAATATTAATTTTGTCAAAAATGTAAATAATCATAAAGTAAAAAATATAAAATCCATTACTTTAATAGGTTTAGTTATTTTAATATTAATAAAATATTTGAATAAAAATAACTGTTACATATTAAAAATATAATATTTATATTTCAAACGAATTCTATTTAATATATTGAATTAGTATAACATATAATATATATATATATATATATATAAATATATAAAATATTTTATTTTATTCTTAATGTTTTCACTTATTAATTATAATACTATTGTTAATGATTATATATTGATTATATTTCTTTTATGTTTTTTTCTGCTGAAGTCATCATTTTTGAGAATTCAGAGTTTGAATTGGATAAAAGTATAGATGGTGCATCAAATTCAATTATTTGTCCATTTTTCATCACAATAATACGATCACATGAAATAACAGTCTTCAAACGATGAGCTATGGTTAATATTGTAGTATTTGAAAATTCATTTTGAATTATATTTTGTACAGCAATTTCAGTTTCTGGATCAACAGCAGCTGTTGCTTCATCTAATACTAATACCTAATCAAATAATAGATTATTAAATTAAATAAGTTTATTATTAATTGATACAAAGAATTTTTATTATATATTTATTATTAATTTTTATATCATACTTTGGCACTACGTAAAAGTGCTCTTGATAAACAAAATAATTGTCGCTCGCCTACACTTAAATTTTTTCCTTCAACTTCAACAGGTGCATCCAATTGACCAGGCATAACTTGTACTTTTTCTTTTAATTGAGTTTTTTCTAAAATACTCCAGATTTCAGAATCACTAAATTGTTTAAAAGGATCTAAATTTGATCTATAATATAATTATAAATATTAACAATAAATAAATTTTTAATATATTTGTTTTTTAATTTATATATTTACCGTATGGTTCCATTAAATAAAACAGGATCCTGAGGAATTATAGATAATTTAGTTCTTAATAACTTTAATTTTACTTTTGCTATATCTATACCATCAATTTTAATTTTTCCAGCAGAAATTTCAATTAATCGGAATAAAGCAATGATTAAAGAACTTTTTCCTGCTCCTGTTCGTCCTACAATACCTAAAATTCATTATATTATTAAAAAAAAATTATCATATAATTTTGTGTATCTATATAATATATAAAATCTTTTTAACTTATCATTACCTATATGTTCACCAGGTTTAATAATAAATGAAATATTATCTAATGCAGGTGGCAAACCTTTTCTGTATTTTAATTCGACTTTACAAAATTCTAATTTTCCATCAATAGGCCATTGATCTGGAAGATCTATGAGATGTTGTTCAGAAATTTCTTCTTTTTGTAAAGTCTATATAACATATATTATATATATATGTGATTTAATTATTAATTATACAAATGTATATGTAATCATTTTATTTACCTTCAAGTAATAGTTTATTCTTTCAACACTTATAAAACGAGTTTCTATTTCCGCCATTAATCTTACAGTATATTGAAAAATGCCAGTCATTTGCATAGCATATGCCATTGCCAAACCAGCAAGGGCTGGAGATATTTGGTTTTTAAGTGCAATTACAAAAAAAGCAGTAATAGAAGAAGAAGCAATTGCCAAAATATCAAGTCTTACAGCAGACCATCTCATGATAGATTGACATAAGTAAAGGCACAAATTGTTTAAGTCAAATAATTCCTCAAATCTAAAATGTAATAATCAATTATTACACAAGGTCTCTTCAATAATTTCATTATAAGATAAGAGAATAGTTAAATGCTTAAAAAATTATTTAGTTCAAAAAATACATATTATGGAAATAATTTTTCAACATTATATTTTTTGATACTTCAAAGTCATCAAAAATCTTTTTCATCAAGATAAATCTGATCTTTCTTCTTGAGCTACAATATAATGATTTTGAAATTAATAAAGGAAAATTTATGTAATGTTGTTATGTATCGTTAAGTATTCAAAATTATTAACTTTTAAATATTTATTAATTTAATTTTCGATTATCTTTTTATAGTATTTCATTATTTGCATTCTATTTCCAAGAATTTTTAAACTTTTCAAGATTACATGAAATCATTATATTTCATTCGTTTTGATCTCAAAAGTTATTTTATAATAATAAAAATATAAGGTATTCAACATGGTTTTTTAAGAATCCCAAAAATATACAAAATTTATAAATAAAATTTGAATCAATTACAAATTACAAATTATTTAAAATTTCCACAAAATGCTTTTTTCTCTAAATTATTAAAATCATCTTGATTTTTTTTAAATATATAATGCAATTTTTATTTTATAGCATTGCTGATATCAAATTTAACAATCTATAATATTATAATTTCTTGATTGACTTTAAGCTTCATAAATTTGAAATTCATTGATTTCTAGGATATTATGATTCCTATGAAATTTGATTTAATAGGATATATCATATGTTTACAATAATGTTTGTATTGTCAATAAATTGTCAATTGTCAATTTTTATAATAATAAAAATTATTATAAAAAAACTGTATTATTATTAATTTAACAGAAGATAATAATTGTTTTACCTTTTTTATATGAAATTATACACTTTTGTTTATGTATTTATATTTAAATAATTTATAAATCTTCAAATACTATCTTTTGATAGTTTTCTTTTGAATAAATTTTGATGTGTAGCAATAAATAAACTTTGTAAATGTACTTTTCTACATATAATAATTTAACTTGAAAATCTTGTATACAATTTGCAGGTTTAATAATCATAATAATTATAAATAAATATCTTTGTAAAAAAAATTTAATGGAGATAAGTTTGACGAACGGCTAGCAACATAATCCATATATATCAATTTATCAATCAAATAATTTGATAATTTTTAATGGCAATTTGTTAATGGCACAAATATTATCTAAAAATACCTAATCTAACATCCTATTAAATTTTATATTTAATATCCTATATATCAATGAATTTAAAATTTATAAACTTAGAATTAGTATTATAGATTGTTTTGATATCATCAACAATATTTTAAAATCAAAAATACATCATATTATTTAAAAAAATCAAAATGATTTTCATATTTCATAGAAATAAATTTTTTTTTTTAAATTTTAAGCCGATTCAAAAAAGAACTTTTTTTTTATATTATTGAAAGAATTTTAGTAAATATCTTGCACCATAAAAAAATATTAATGATTTTATAATCTCGAAAAATGTAATCTTCAAAAAAAAATGATTCTTACCATAATATGTGTTTTCTCAAATCAAATAATTTATTCCTTGAATATTTTCACAAATTATAAACAATAATTAAATATTGTTTTGTAATATTGTTATTATTTATTATATATTATATATTTATTATATATATTAAATATTTTATAATAATGTAGTAATGTAGTAATGTATCATTTTAAGAAGCATACTTGTTTACAAATGCTTTTTCCTTTTGGAATGCGTGAATAGTATTTAGACCATGAATGGTAGTTGTAATGAAACTTAAAACAGGAGATCGTGAAATATTCTCCATTCGTTTAAAATCTCTCATTGCTACTCTGAAAAAATTTTTCTTTTGCTACATTTGAAGAATAATAATGAAAAATATTATTGAAAAACATTATAAATTTTATTTTAAAATATAAATCAAAATATCTCACCTAAAGATCCTGCTAATATAAAAAAAAATAGCAGCAAGAATAATTAATGGTAAACAATACCAAGGTAATATTGCACATATAAATACAATTGCAAAACTGCAAGTAATTATATTCTGTACCATGTTTTCTATAGAAATTGGTATGTAATTGTCCACTAATAAAAAAGTAATTAAGAAATATAATAATCTTGATATTTAATGTTAGATTTGCATTACTGTTCACAAACAATTTGCAAATAATTTACAAACAGTTTTTAAAAATTGTTCATTGCTCGCAAAAAATATATAAATATATAATATAATAAAATAAAAAATATATAAATATATAATCAGCATGACAATAATTCATGATGCATAACAAATAGTTTGTGAACAATAGCATTACAGTTCAAAAAACAGTTCTATATCCTACCTTCATCAATATCTCGACTAAAAATATTTTGTATTCTTCCAATAGGAGTTGTTTCAAAAAATGTTACTGTTGTTTTAATTATTTTCTTAAAAACTTTGTTATGTAATGTTGTTGAAGCATTTATTGTAGCATACATAATAACCAAACCACGCAGTAAACTTGTTAATAAAATTACTCCAATGCAACCAATATAAATATTTTGATAATATGAATAATTAGGATTGTCATTTAAATTATTTGATGATATAGTTTTATTATTATTGGAATCAATAATATTCTTAAATGAGAAAAATTAATAGAAAAAAAAAAATAAAATATAAAATATACAATTAAACTAGGAGAAAATATTTACCCCATTGCCAGCTTTAATCCATATAGCTAACCACCAAGAACTAAATGCTGAACTTCCAATGCTTAAGAAGAGTGTCAAAAATACTAAAACCGCTATAAGATAACCACCCGCAGATTTTACATATATATGATAAATATATGATTTTACAGTACCCATTCCCATCTTTTCTTGAGTAGTAAGGATTGCTTCTAAATAATAAATTCAAATGTAACAAATTGATAATTTAAATCTTTTTAATACACACCTTTTTCATGTATCTTTGTTGTTTCAATATATTTATTATTATCTTCTGCATTGCAAGTTATTGTTTGTCTCTTTGAATCATTATTAGAATTTTTGTTTGTTTGAATCGGTATCGCAATTTCACTAAATAAATTGAATATAAGTATTAATACTATAATTATTTAAAAGATTTTTAAAAATTATTTGTAAGATAAATATTACTTTGAATCAATCTCCGTTTTTAATAATGCACTATCTGCCATTGTAGCATATTCTTTATTTAATTGCATCAATTCATCATGTGTACCTTGTTCTACAATTTTTCCTTTATGCATTACAAGTATTTGATCACAGTGTTTTAAAAACTATAATTAGTGAAATATAATATTAAACGTAATTAATTATATATACGAATTATTTGAATTTAAGAATATAACTTATTGAAAATATACTTGAATTTGATGCGTTACAAATAACACACATTTATTCTTGAGCGCTCCGAGAATTAAATTTTTAAAAATATAAGAACCCACATGTGTGTCTACTGCACTTAATGGATCATCCAAAAAATATATATCTCTTAAAAAAAAATAAATGATCTTTTTAAAAAATATAATTGTATGTTTTAGAAATTAAGAGTTTTAATAGTAAAAAAAAACATACCGATTAGCATAAAGTGCTCTAGCAAGAGCAATTCTTTGCTTTTGTCCTCCTGAAAGATTTATACCTCTTTCTCCTATCTCAGTTTCATCTCCACCCGGTAACATATTCAAATCTTCTTTTAAACTGCACACTGTTAATGCTTGATAGTATCGTTTAGCATCAAATTGATTTCCAAACAATATATTTTCTTTGAAAGTTGCATTAACAATCCACGCTTGTTGACTAACATAAGCGCAAGAACCTTCTCTCAAAATACAGCCGTTCATCATTTTTAATTGTCCCAAAGCAGCAAGCAAAAGACTAGATTTTCCACTTCCTACATGTCCACAAATTCCTGTTAATCCACCTTTTGCTACTCCAAATTTAATAGTTGAAAGTACTTCAATATATTCAGTTTCTTGAGATGATTCATTAAGTTTTTCCAATTCAACCTTGCTTTTTAAATATGATACAATTTTTCTGAAAAAAAAATATAAAAATTTAAAAAAATATGAGTAAAAAATTTATTAATTTCAAAGAACTTACTTTTTTTTCTAATATTTTTTAATTTTTTAGCGTATAAAGTAGAATTTTCGTAAACGAATGTACCGTTAGCAATGGCTACAGCTTGTGATTTTACAATTGGTTTTGATATATGGCATGTGTATTCTTCTAAAAGTAATATATTCTGCACAAATATTACTAATTATTGAAAATAATCATTGAAATTTTAATATTTATTCACGATTAATTTGAAAATCGAATGATTATAAAGCAAAGCCAAATCAATTTTAGTAACAATATTCATTATTTTAATTAATAAATATCAAATTTATAATACTATATAAAACTATCATATAAAAAGCGGATTAAAAGCACAAAATAAAAATTATGATTTAAAACATGCAATGCATAACATAAAAGTGCAATGAATTATTACAAAATATTGCATTATATTATAGAAATGCATTATCTATAAGATCAATCAAGCAAATAAATAAATTATATTATAAAGCATTGTATATTTTTATAACTATCATAATATATTATACAATGAAAGCGAATTAAATTTTTTCTACAATGCAAATGTTATTTCCAAAATAACCAATTTAATCTTTATATTATTATAATTAGTAATTATTAATAGATAAATGCAAAAGTAAACACCTGCAATCTGTTGAGTGTTATATTTGACTCGGCGATATTAATTAACGCCACTTGTAGAAATAAAAATGAAGAACGAAATTGAGAATTGAGCAATGTTACAAAAGGAAAAACCTGGAAAAAGTATATTATAATTTAATATTATAATTTATTATATGAATACCGCAAACTTATTATGTTATGTTAAATTATTCCCAACATTTGCATTTTTCATACATAGCTTTGTTTATCTTTCTAATATATATACAACAAGGAGGAGTAAGAGAAAAAGCAATTATTTATATTTATTTATATATGTGCAGCACTTTCCCCTTTATGTTAGCAAATTTTTGACCATTTACTATTGACATATAAACATAATATTATTAATAAAAAAATTCTCGAATATATTATATTAATTATATCAATTTTCTATTTAATTACTTTAATGATATAAAATATTCTTTTGGATATAAAATACACGAGAATTTGTTTGTTAATAATAAATAAAGAATACCCATCCATTAAACATTTAAAATATGGGAGATTTTGTAATTAAATTATAATTTAAGTAAATTTTAGGAGACCTTAATTCTTCTAAGAGCAATATGAGCGTCGATAAAATGTCGTGAAGAATCCTTAAGAGAAGAGAGTGCCATTCTCAACATATTTCCGAAAAATGTTGTAATTGGAAAAGCCTGCAATATTCATCTCATTAAATGCAACACTTGTTTCATAACTCTAAATATGCAAAATATTTTTTACTATTTTATTTTTTAATAATATTTTTAAATTGTAGCTACTTATATATTTGGTTTGGAATTACTTATTCTAATATTCCTCCAAAGAAATCTAAATAAATATAAATCTACATATTTTCATTTTCAATTTGCAAAATAATGTATACCTGAGAAGCAGTTAAATTACTGCCTGAAGATAAATGTGCTAAAAATGTAACAATTGCAGATATTGCAGGTATAGCTGGTGTTAAAGAAATAGCAAGACTTTGGAAATATACAGTTTTATGCAACCAATATTCCTCCTTCTTTCGTATATCTGTAAAATTAATTAATATACAAAAAGATAGTAAAAATTAAAATTATAATGCTATATATCATAATAATTTATTTTATTTAACAAAATAGCAATTATACCAAGAAGTTTATGACTAAAATATTTCTCCCATGAATACATTTTAATTAATTTTATACATTCTAAGATTTCATTCATTAATTTTACTCGTGTATCTGTAATAATAACTGTTTTCGAACGAAAATATCCAACTGCACGGGATAGAAGATACTGTTAAGAAAAGTAACATTATATGAAATGTTATGGTGATATATATTATATGGTGAAATTTTAAAATTTAAATAAATTTAAACTGTATAAAAAAATATTTCTCAATAATTTCTCACCTGACAAGGATAAAATACAAGAAAAGTGAATATTCCACAAAGAGCTATTGGACTAAATACCCAAAGTATATAAATTATACCACAGATAATAATTATTGGACCACTAAATATCATAGGTCCATAAATGACAACATCAAAAAGTCTTTGACTATCATTTGTAAATAAATTAATCATCTAAAAAATTATAAAACACTGATAGATATGAAATTAAATTCCATATGATAATATTATTTATTTGAAATCTTACTTCTCCTGTACTTTTATTTCCAAGATTATTCAATCTAATAATTTTTTTATATAAAAGAGTTGTACAAGCACTCTTTAATCTTAATGCTGTTCTAATATTAGTATTCCAAGTCCAGTTAAAAAATATTAATCGCAAAAAATCACAACATGTTAATAACAGTGCCCATTTTATGCCTACCCATATATTTTCTTCTGATGATTGAACATATTCTAATACTTTTTTCATTAATATCATCTATAATATAAAAACAAGAAACAAAGAAACATAAAATTCTATATAGCAATACATATAAAATTAGTATTTATAAAACTAAAAAACATACAGAACTAATAAATCCACAAATTGTAGAACAACTTAATAAAAATCCAGCTATACATATTCTTGTTCTCACAAATTTCCAAGCTACATTTGGAAATGATGCTAAATATGGACCATGTTTATTTAATTCTTCTTGCCAAAGTATTTCTAATCTAAATATGAAATATATTTTAAATATGATAAAAAAATAGTTATATTCAAATTGATGCAGTTACCTATGAGTATTATATTTAGAACTTTCATAAGTAGAAATATATGGAATATTCGTAAAGTCAATACCATTTTTGTATGCTTTCCATATATATGGTGTTAACCATGTATAAAAAATATATGAAAACAAACCAGCATTATCTGCTGGCATACATTCCTTGTTTCTAAAATATATATTAAAAAATATTATTAAAAAAACAATTTTTTTTATTTTGAAATTGAATATATATTACATACTGATTTTTGCGACGTATTGGTATAAGATTTCTTAAAGCTGGATTGTATCGTTTTATATTTGTTCCTTTAATATATTCTGTTGGTATTTTTGGCGAACGTGAATATGTATTAGGAAGCAAAAAATATTGTCTTTCATTGACATAATTATATCTAAAAATGTATGAAACAATATTAATTTCTTATTTCAATAAAAATAAAAAAGATTACATACTTATACCTTTCACTATTAATATATTGAGTCTCATTGTCTTCATTTTGATCATTAAGAACATCTGTTTTATTTTCCATTGTTATATGTTATTTTCTATTTCATGTTATTTTAATGCTTTAAAAGTTTTAAATTAATTAATTTAATACATATAAATAAATAAAATAAATTTAAATCGTATAATAAAAATGACAAAATATTCAAACATTTTTTAAGCAACTTAAAAAATGATTAAATAATAAAGGTTTTATAATTTTTAATATATTATTAACTAATAAAATTGATAATAAAATTATCAAGAAAAAATTAATTTAATAGTACGTTATTATTATCTAAATAATAATTAAATAACTATATAAAACAAAATCTTAAACAATTATTTTATATTAATAATTTTATTATTAGTTTAAAGTAAAATTAATAATTTTGTTATTTAGAAAAAAATGAAAATGAATAAATTTAATAAATGTTAATTTTACACGTATACAATTCTAATAGATAAAACACTTATAAATGAATACTGATGTTATAAAGTTGATAAAAAATTTAATCTTTTCTTATCAACAATAAGTAAAGCCGAACAAATATTTGATTTTAAATTTGAGCGTGAAATTCTGCCCTCTGGTTTAACGAGTTCTGTATAAATTGACATAATCCTTATTAACCTTTAAAAGTTTTATTGAATGAATACAAAATATAATAGTATTTTTATTTCGCAATATTAAAAATTTTATTTTATAAAATAATTAGAAATGCAAAAAATACAAACGATATTTATATAAATACAAATCAAATATAGATATCAAAATAACAATAACTATGAATTTTTATTATTTTTTTATATTACAATATTTTTATTAGTAACATTAAAAATGTTGAATTTATATTTAAATAAATGAATTGTAAAATTTATTTTATATATCAAAACATGATTTTTTATACTTACAGTGGAAAATTAATACCAAATTTTTCGAATTATATCTTATCTTTATAAAATCTGCTATTATCACGCATTCAAACTATCAGTAAAATAATTATCTTTATTAAGTTATAAATTATTCTTTTCTGCATGTGTTTCATAAAACTAAATTACTTTAATATTCTTTACTAGCATATATACACACATATACATATTCATTAATAAATTCCAATTGCTCGATATAGTGCCGCATCTTAAATGCATACACTAGTTCTTTGTATTATTTATCATTTATATATATATGTATATATATTCATATTGATTATAAGCACATAAAATGATTTATTTATGATTTAGTTACAATTAAAGATATGTTTTATCTATAAAAATTCATACATTCAAAAAATAAGAATTTTACAATATCTTTTAATATAAAAAAATTATATTTTAAATTTAATAAAAAGTTTATTATTAAGCATTATTATATTGATAATATATAATATATCATATTGAAAGCCTTCAATTATAAAGATAATATTTATTATTATGCTTTATAAAAAGGTCATATTAATCATATGTTATTCTTATTAATTTTATCCATAAGATAAATTCATAAGGGTACACTTTATTATTATTATGTTGAATATAAACTTCTTTCACTTACAAAAGATAAGATCTTAAATAAATACAATTATTTTTTGTTTTGTTTACATTTTCGCAATGAAAAATAAGAAGTATTTTTCTTTATAATGAAAAAAATAAAATATATATGTATATATATACATAATATATTTTTTTTCTTTTTAATTTAATATATTTTTTAGAAAAACTTGAAAAGCTAAATACGAGTATAATTGACTCAAAAACATATTTTTCGTAAATGTCAAAAGTAGAATAGATTCAATAATATTTGATATTTGTTGGATTTTTTTAATATACTTTTTCTTTTTTTTCACAAAATTGTTATGTGAATATTATTAAAGATTTTATAGTCGAAATATTTTCCATATCATTTAGAATAGTTAAATATAATAGTTTTGTTTAAAAGAATTATACATAAACTATATGTAACTTATGTCACTAATATGAATTATTATTTAAGTAAATATATTACAATGTGATAAATTGTAATTGTCGAATATCATTTCCATTTCAATATGAACTATCTATATTTTTATATGATTGTAAACATTATTTCTAACTTTGATAATCTGATGTTGAAGCTATTATATAATTTATTAATATGCTTATTCTGTAATATTAGAATTTGGAACACTTTTGTGAGATCTTAATAAAATAGCAAATGTACAATGTATTAAAGTGGTATATAATATCAATATTAATAAAAAAATTAAAAATATGAAGTAGTTTTTTTAACTTGAATTTTTTTGACTTAAAAAAATTATGCTGATTTTAAAAAATATAATTTACTTTTTATGATTGTTTAAATTTATGATAGAATAGAAATTACACTAGTAATTTAAGAATATAATTTATAATATATAAAGTTCAATATTTTTATTGAACATAAATGAAAAAAAAGATAAAACAGTTATAATGAATTCTAGTTAATGAAAATTGATCATAAAAAAATATTTGATTAATGTTATTACAATAATATTATATTAATATTAGAAAATAAAACATAAACTTTATGTATGTAATTTGTAAAATATAATGAAACAAAAGTAATCAATTTTTGATTGAATACGACGCGAAAACGAAATTTTACTGTAATTATAATTCAGTATATTAAATATTTGATTTACGAAATGTTTTATCGTCGATAGCGTAGAAAACGCGACATCCGACCTCAAAAACTGTTATAATTACTTCCTCCTAATTGAGAGCTGAAGCCTCTATTTGGGGAATATCCTGGCCTGAAGTTGTTACCTAAACCTAATATATAAATATAAAATTACATTATATATGAGTATTAATAATATTCATAAAATAATTGGAAAATAAGAAATTTTAAATAAGAAGAAAAAAAATAATTTAAAAAAGAATACAAAATTATTATTATTATTTTAATGAAAATACAAAAAAGTTGAAATAAAGAAAAAAAAAAATAATAAAGAAGTAAAAGGCATACCTCCACAGAAATTTCCAATGCCACCTAATGACATTCCACTTGAACCACCAGTTGAATTTAAAAATAATTCAATATATCTATGTGACATATGACTTTTGTCCTGTAATGATATATTATAAAATAATATAATAAAAATTTTAAGATAGTAGTTGAAAGTTGTAATGACAGTTAAATTTAATTAACCTTGGACATAGCTTTAACAGCCTCTTCGTGAGTTGCAAATTCCACATCAGCTTCTCCAGAAGGACGTCCACCATTTTCAAGAATAATTCGTACATTCACTGGTTCAATAGGTCTAAAGAACTAAAATTACACAGTAGAATATCATTGAGATTGAGATTGAAGTTGAAATTTTGAAAGAGGGAGAAGAAGGGAGGGAGGGAGAAGGGGGAGGGGAGGGAGAGAGATAGATAGATAGATAGATAGATAGATAGATAGATAGATAGATAGATAGATAGATAGATAGAGAGAGAGAGAGAGAGAGAGAGAGAGAGAGAGAGAGAGAGAGAGTATAGTAA